CTGATTTCAGGGCGTTTTCCTCGTGTAGGTATCCACAAGGATTACCTTTTAACCTTGTCCACAAGTTGGAATTAATCAGGTCAAGGTGTATGGCAAAGCGATGTATGACATCATTGCCAACGTAAACCTGATAGCGAGGTTCGTTTATCACTAAGAATAAATGTTTAACTGTCTTATTTCCAATGGAAATAGATGGTAAACATTTTGCTATCACATTGTGACTCTCTGATTCGCCATCCAGATTCTGGATCCACCTGTCATGTGGGGAAGCGTACCTGATCATTTTAGGATTAGCGATCTGCTTTAACAGACTTCTGCTAATATAGCTATTCTCACTCTGTAAGTCCAGCTTTGCATTCCTACTTCTTCCTAAGTCATTTATTTGCATAGGAAAGAATAAGTTGTTATTAACCCTTTCAATTCTGGCAAGGAATTGAGCATGACCTGTCAGATCTACAGATTCAACATAGTCCCTGTGGAGAGAAATAGTTAAAACATCACCTTCCAGAGAGACATTCTGGATCCTCTCTGGAACAATTCTTACGGAATGCTCATCTACAGGTGCGATTGCATCATTCACCTGCAGGATAGTCACGTCAGGTGACTGACTATTTCTAAAATGTACCTCAATTGAGTCAGGTCTTTCTTCTATCACATGGCAGTTACGATCAGATCGAACATGTGATTTCTCATAGGTTATAGGAACTTTAGCTTGTGACCATACAATTCCATTTACACAGTCAATAATTGTGTTAAGTCTTTTGAGTATGTCTATACCCAGAATCAGTCGGTCATAGGGGAGATCTACCACTATCACCGGGTGTCTAAAGGTTTTGTTACCTATTTTAAACTTTAACCAGGTATTGCCAATAACATGAAGGGCATTTCCTCCTACACTCAACAGGGCATTGGGGAAATCTCTTAGCTTCGGCTTATCCGTTGCTAAGTCCATTACCTGCTGGAAGTAGGTATTGGATAAGATAGTGGCTTGTGAACCAGTATCTATTAACCCTTTAAAAGGCTGGGGTAGTGAATCCTGTATTTCTACAGACATGTAGTACCTTCCTTCATGTTCTTCTAATTCACATAAGAATTTAGAATGTGTCAACATATTACTTGTTTTCCATACATTACCTGTCACAACAGTAGTTTCTACCTGTACTGAGGAATGCTCAGTCTTACCCACAGGCCCATCCTTTTTAGGAATATCTTGAACTGTCAAGCGGGAACTAGTGGTCGGCATCTCATCAGTTAACCCTTTCAGGTCTGGATCCTGGAAACTTGTGGCTGCTGGGGCTATTTTAGCCTTTGGCTGAAATGAAAAAACAGAGGAACACGTCGCGCCTCCTTCACCCGAAAGTGAAGTGACGGGATAGGCAATAGGTTTTCTAACACAACTATTATTTGTTTGACTGTTAGTACCTGGAAAGGAAACAGGGTTAGGCATTACATCTACTGATAACCTAGCCTGTTTAGTCACAGTGGCTATTATTGCTGCGGCACCTGTTGTTGCTGCGGTTGCACAGGTAGTTCTGCAATTGGAGCTATCCCTAAAAAAGGATTAAAGGACCACTCTAGGCACCCAGACCACTTCAGCTTAATGAAGTGGTCTGGGTGCCAGGTCCTTCTAGGGTTAACCCATTTTTTCATAATTATGGCAGTTTCAGAGAAACTGCTATAATTATGAATGGGTTAAGCCTTCCCCCTAATCCTCTAGTGGCTGTCTCATTGACAGCCACTAGAGGCGCTTGCGTGCTTCTCACTGTGATTTTCACGGTGAGAGCACGCAAGCGTCCATAGGAAAGCATTGTAAATGCTTTCCTATGGGGCGACGCCAAACTGAATCTTGGCCTTTGCCTTCAACCCGCGCTGGCGTCTTTTATTTCAACTGTGAGGAGGCATGCTTGGGAGGGAGGGAGAGGAGGAGGAAGCTCCCAGCAAGCTGGAAAAGGTAGAAGTTTTTACACTACACCCCCTTCAGAGCGAGCGGGGAGGGTCCCTGAAATTGGGGGCACCCTCAGGGGGCACTATAGTCTGGGAAAGCGAGTATGTTTCCTGGCTTTATAAATGATCCTTTAAAACAAAGGGCTTTTGGTTAATCTTTGTCATTTCCTCCATTAATTTGCCCACCTGGTCTGTCAATTGACCAACCTGACGACGCAAATTATTTCCCCCATTGCCGTTTTGTCTTTGCCCATTAGAATTTGGTTGGGATGGCTGAGACTGTTGGGAGTTATTGGAAGCAGATTGGTTGTTTCTGTTTCCATATCTCCTATTTCCCTGAGGGTTCCTTCTCCATTGGGAATTGCCTTGGTTTTTATTAACCCAAGGGCGTTTATTCCCATTGGCATTGGATTTTTCAGAGTTATTAGAGGAATTTGCAGAATTGCTTCTGGCGTTTTCCTGTTTCTGAGGTTTTGGAGATTTCAAAACCTCGGAATAGGTCCTCTTTTTCTGTTGGGTTTCTAAACCTAACTGAATTTTAGTCTCTGACACCATTTTATCACCGGGTTTCTTAACCTTTGGCTGATTTTCGTCATGTGCATGGTGTATAGTATACAATTTCATGCACTGACTGACTAGCCATTCTAATGGTAACTTACAATCGTAATCTCTTGCGAGATTCATTTGTATGTTTACTGGCATGGCATGAAAATACAGATCTTTGAAGTCTGTGCTTTCATACCTGGGTTTCCTTTGGGCCATGGAGTATGCATTTTTAAGAATTATTAAAAATTCTCTGGGGCTTTGATCTGGACGGCACTTTAAGTTATAAAGCGCCTTCTTAGCAGAGGCAATGGTTTTATACTTACCATATTCCATGATTATTTCATATTTCATCTTGGACCAGGACATTAACTGTATAGCTTGAAGACTTTCTAGATAAACACGACACATTGAATCAAAGGTCCATGTAATGAACCATTTCTTATGAATGTCATCATGCATGCCCAATGAATTCATTGCTCTATCATAATTTTCCAGATGTTCAGATATGTTTCCTGAACCTCTAGAAAATTGTGGGACAGTCTCTCTAAGGAATTTGATGACCTTTGGCGTTTCATAAACAGGCGTCGTTGATTTAGGGCCTCTGTTTCTGTGTTTGAGTAAACGTCTATGCGATCTGTCTGCTGAAGAGGAATTAGACCCGTACAACAGTGCAGATGGCATATCAGTTACATGGCCTTCAGAGTGGATAGTGCAATCACTTTCACTCCCATCACTCTGAGCTTCTTGTTCACTGTCACAATTCTGATCAGCATCAGAATCCTGCCAGTGTACAGAACCATGTCTGTTTTCATTCCTATCATCTTGAATTGGACTCTCTCTGTCAAGCATGGCCAGGACAGTCTTTTCAAACTGTTCTGCCCATGATTGCCAAGAACCTACAGGTGTTTTCTCAGAATTACTCACCTCTTTACTTACAGACTGTTTTATGAAAACCTGGTTTGGTGTGGGAAAATCATAATAAGGAGGGGATTTACAGATAGTCTTTTCTTGCATTTTTGTGCAACCTTTTGGCACAGAATGATGACTACCAACCTCACTGTCTAATTTCTGACTCTCCTTTTCATACTCATCCAATTGCATTTTAAGCTGATTTATTTCCTGTGCATATTTATCCGTCAAAGCTTTCATTTCTTTTTCATGATCAGCCTGACGAGTTTTATGCTCAGCAAGTAAATCTTGGTATTTTCCATTTTGAATGCCCAGATCGTCACTGTACGTGTCCAATTTGGCATTCAGTGACTTGTTTTCATCACACACCTTAAGAAGTGCTGTCATAAAGAAAGGCCAAGAGTGTATTATGTACGCCATTTTCCTTTCTATGTTCTTTTGTTCAGCAATTTCTTTAAGATATATGATGATGTGTTCATCAGTTAGAATGGTGTGTTTAGCTTCCCATTCTATGCTTTTCAACCAAACCTCATAGGTTGCATCATTTTTCATATGTTTATGAATATGAACTAGAGCATGTTTTCTTAGGTCTTCAATTATTTCAGTATTATCTGTTACAGATTTATCACTGCCACTGGCCATTTTTATTTTTATTTTATTGATTAATCTCAATACAAAACTCTTTTCTATATTAAGATTAAATTGCATGAATTACACCAATATTATTATTATATATGAAATACAATTTCAACTTAAACGATCTCAGCACCGTGCCTCCAATATGTGGGGATATTTATGGGATAATAATAGTAACAGTGAGAATTGCCCACTATTTCAATTCTCAGATCCCAAAGAACGTTTATCGTGTTAAGTGGAATGTATTTCATATAATTGATATCACAATGTATAAAAATAGATTTTATTTATGATAACCAATAATTAACAAATAATATTATGTAACATGCATGACAATAATCAATGAATATCCAGTACAAAATTATATGCAATACAAAGAAATGGGTATTACGTTTCAATGGCTAACTAGCATTTTCTGTCAAGAATTCTGACGATTTATGACTAGCTTTCACAGACTGAAAGTGAAACTTTTCACACAGAGAACAGAATTCCTCAGAGTGCAGCGTAAGGTCGTAAAGTTTAGCAGACAGTTAGAATAACCCTTTCAATGCTGGCTAGATCTCCTAGGTAGTTAAGATCTACTCTTATGTAATTTTAAATAAAATAACATTTAAACCAGTCCATTAGCCATTTCCTGAAAACAATCCAATAAGAGAATCTACATATTATAAGCAGATTTTAATTTGTCTAAAAGATATCTATCTTAATTTAGAGCAAATCAATACACCTGGATAAAAACAGCGGTATGCTAACACGTGATAATATCACATCAATATATAATTATTCTTAATTCCACCTGCAGAATGGAATGTTTATAACTATATATTCTTAGTTAACTAAGATTTCTTAATATGGAAATCTGACCGTGCTTTATCCAGTCATATATAATGCTATTAATACATTTTAATTAATTTAATTTAATTAAATGAAACCAGTATAATTACCAGTTCAGTAGATATTTCATCCGATTGGTAGTCTCAGGAATTTATTTGGATGTGTCTCTGCATGGAGGTTGGAGTCCCCAAACTTCCAATTCCTCTCTTTTCTCTCCTTTTCATATCTTGCATCTGCCTCCTTCGTCTTGTCTCTCTATCTTCCCTTTGTCTTAACTTTTAAAGGGCCAGACTCTCTGTACGTCATCAGTTGATAACCCAATAGAAGTACTAGAGGTGTGGTTATCTTCCAGATCGCAATTTAGTTATTTGGTCTATAGAGGGCAGTCTTGTCCCACTAAACATACCTATCCAGGAAAGAGTTAACTTTTCCTGGTGGCTATTTTGACGTCATTTTGCATTATCTTTATAGCGCCATAATTTAAAATTTCAAAGGGTTTCTTAAATTTTGTCCAGACTTAGCGTCTGCAATTCCTGCCATAATTTCTGATATGACAGATCATGAACTAAGTTTACCCTTTTCCATACAATGGTACCTTATATATATAGACAGTTAAATATTAAATTATTTAATCTTCTCTGTCACAATTGTCTGGGTTTAGATTTGATTATATTCCATTAGCATTTTAGACAGTCTATCCAACCCCCTTCCTTATCACTTGGCTTGTATATACTATGCATTCCTCAGCTCTGGCAAAGAGGCCAGTCTTACAGAAAGAAATCTAGTGTCTTCTTTGTTAATTTGAAATAACAAAATGGAGTCTGGTCTGTTCAGAGTGACTCAGAATATACACTTTTAGTTTCTATCATAGCACAAAATGTCTGCCGATATAAATACTCTGACAAGATCGACATGCGAGGATTAAACATACAATTAATGATCAAGCTTTTTATGATGTAAAGCAAGCTGGGTTATACAGGCTAGGTTTAGCTTTTGCATGAGATTGAGTAATGGTCGTTTGTTGCATTCTTTACTCAAACATAAACAGTGCACTTACTGAAATTTAAGAGGCATGGACAACATTACAGGAGCATATTCGCTACAGCGGAAGAAGTCGTACATGTTAACCATTATTCGGTGTATTTCAGAGTGAGAAAAAAAAAAAAGTGACACGAAGGACTAACTCGATATGTTGGTTTACAGCTGTGTGCATTGAGCCATGTATATGTGGGAGAGTGGGTATAGGGCTTAAGTAGCTCGTGTGATAGTTAGGTTCTGTGAGCCAGGTAAAGTAAAATAATAAAAAGGGGGGGGGGATGCCCCCTGAGCATAAGGGGGCCTAAGGGATAGGGCCCTACATGAAGATCCCTGACTGAGTCCTCTCATGGATTCCAGGGACCTTGGTCCATGCACGTGCGGCCGGTTTGTATGTGGAAAAAAGAAAAAAAAAAAAGGATAAATGAATAAAAATGTGAGTAAATAGTGTTGGGGGGGGGTAATTACTTGAGGATAACTGGCTGCTTGAGGTGGAAGCTATCGCTGCTTAGAAGTGTGTCTCGTGCCTCCCCTCATGCCTCTGTTCCCAGATGAGACTTAAAAGTAACGTAGAGCCTCTATATGGCCATGCTCAGTGCAACAGTAACGAGCACCCCGGTGCGCCAACATGCAGTGTCGGCCTGGTCATAAAAGCAATGTCGGTGCAGGCTGTAAACATAGTTTTTTACATTTGCGAAGCTCAGGTAATAATTGCAGCATGTCTATGTAAAAATTAAATCATATAAAGTTTGTAATTATTTCCGTATGATGAGAGGCAGTCGTTATGCACATAGGGGCAAGAATTTAAAGGTAGCCCACAAAGAGGCTCTTTTCTTCGGCATACGGCCACCGTTTAAATGTTTAGCTTTGCGTGTGTACGCTAATGTATGGAACTGGATTGGGAACTGTGCTCGGAAGGCTTTCTATCTGTGGAACAGGCAGACTGTTTTGTACTCTGTCGTTTACTGCTAGCAGTCATCTTAATCCGTGGGCTGTTTGACCCTTAACTATGCGACTCGTTAATGTAATAATATGCTAATAAAAAAATCTTATGGTAGAAGATGGCCAGACGTGCTCTCTGAGAGCTCCTACACCAGCGGGCACAGAAACAATGATTTTGTACAACCAAATACAACCAGCTACACAAGGAGCCCAGAGAACGAGGCAGAACAACACGGGGAACGTATTGATGCCGGACAAGCATCGACACGCAATCCCAGCGTCCGAACCGGCCACGCGGCCTAAACAGATGCGGAGCCTGAAGCATGGGGGAGGCGGCCGATCTCCCGGCACGGGCCCCGACTGCAAACAAGAAACAGACACTGCCCCGCTACCCCCCACCCCCTGGACCGGCGGGGGATATCCCGGTCCTCGCTGGGGACGAATACCCCCGCCACTCGGCTTAAAACAGCGACTAAACCAGCGGTCAACCAAGCCTGTCAGGGCCCAAGCAAGATGGTGGCCTGAAGACCTGGGACACAAAGCACCCTTACAAAGCCACCTAAACATGTCCAGGAATTTTTTCACCGGCTCTGCACCAACCTATGGACACAATACCGCACCAGGGATCAGTTATTCCAACTAATGGTGAAGGAGATGGCGGCATGGATCCGCCCTGCCACCCGACGCCGCCTGTGCAGACACTCACACCGCGCCCCTAGAGCAGCCTCCAGACAAAGACGGCGCCGAGGACTCGGAGAGCGGGGAACGAAGGCAAACTCCTCAAGCACCATCGCTCACCCTCGCACACAACTGAGCGGGACCGCCAGACAAACTCGATCCACGTACCACTCCGCAGCGCCAGCAACCTTCGAGCACTGCAGCCTGCGGTCTACTGCGAGCAGCCACATCGACCGCAGGAACGGCAAGGCCTCAACCCTCATCCCAACCTGGAGCAAACTGCATGGCGAGCAACAGAAGGGTCGCTGGACTGCCACCTGAAGCACACCAGCGGCGTCAGATGAGGAACTACAGCTACCCGCTGACCAGCTGCCAGCCTGGATACACAACAGGACTTGGGACACTCTCCTATTGCCACTGCTAACAGTATACTCAAAATCATAAATGCTAGTTACCGTTAAAACCGTTAAAATGATCTAGTACTCTCTATAGTTTACCTAAATGCCCAGCAGTACTCACCCTCATATCACACATAGCATGTAGTCTAACCTACACAGCAGAACTGTTAATACCAGCAAATAACATGTTACATGCAAATTGTCCAGATGCATTCACCTTCCAGCTTGTTTATCTGTTTATTTCATTGTTTAGTAATATGTAAAACACTACAGAGGCATACATTCCAACGACTAGCACAATTCATATAATCAGCGCAACTGGCGCTAATAAACACACCTGCTGACTTGGAGTTATGGCATTTTGATTGCAAATATATATGGGGAGACCCGAGCCCCAAAAGCGTAGTGTATTTAAACTTAAGAAACTCAAGCCCTGACCAAATATGACTATAATATCAGTGTATTTGTACAGCTGAAACTGCAATGTTACAACTGCTTAGATTCTTGGACCATGGTTACTTTAATGCTTTCTTTAGGTATATAAGCTTGCCGATCTCACACGATGCCTCAGGCTAGTCGCACTGATTTAGCTTAAACCATATTGTTAATAGTTCATCTGCTGTATCGTTACCTTTTTCACTCTTAAAAAAAAATGTATGCAACTCCAACTTGCCACAATACTGTTATCATATGTCTATAAAAATCGAGCCTGCTATAGCTGTTGTGGCGACAAAGGCACTGTTGTAACTACCTGCATACCAAAAATAAAGAATTTATAAAAATATCTTATGGTAGTAAATTAAAAACATAATGTTAAGTCCTTGCTGCCTAGTCAGATGCGCCACAATCTATATTACCTTGCATATTTATGACCGAAAAGAGCATATAAACAAACACATTACATTATGTACGTTATAATCGCCTAGTCTATTATAATTCTGACTTATGGAATTAAAGAATGCTTATGATTTAAGGGCAACTAACAGTAGTGCATAAGCTTAACTGAGCGACTTAGCGTTCCCCAAATTCTTTAAGTACATGGATATATATAAAAAAATAAAACAGGAAAGTATCAGCGCTATTTGAGTATGGTATCTTAAGATTTCTATATAATCCAAGCAGCTGCTAACCACCGTGAGAATCTTTTAAACAAAAGTGATAGAAAGTAGTAGGTAATAACGGTGTAGCGCTTATGTGCAGAATTGAATAAAGAAGTTTACCCAATTTTTCTTCTATGTTAATCAGTTATTCTTTGTTAACCTTAAGGTAAAAATGGAAAAAATACATAACATAGTGCAGATTGTATGTAAATAGGTGGAAATAATTTTAAAGTAAGGGCCAAGTGGCAACTCACAATTTTCTGAGCTATAAATCTAGCTCAGATTTAGGTGCTTTAGGATCCGTATAGGCGACCCTCTCCCTTCTTCTCCTTTCTTTGTTCCAGTCCTATATGGATACAGGATGGGGTATATAGTGTAGTATAGTTGATATTATTATGAGAATTTTAAAATAGTAAATTTGGTACTCACAAACCCAGAGCCAGTCTATAGGCTCACTTCAGTGCGCATATGTGGTTTAAGGACCACACTCCTTCTTTCAATTAGCAGGAAAAAGCCATAAGTGTACTAAAAAATATATCTCATTTATTGACTATAAAATTGTAACACATATAAAAATATATATATATATATGGAAAAAATAAGTAAATAAATAAAACACTTATATGGCTGAAATAAAGTCCAATAAAGTCCAAAATGAAGTCTTTCAGTGCTCACTTCGCTTTCCAGAACGCGTTTCGCCAGGTGGCTTCTTCAGCTGGTTAAATTCTGTGATGTTCTCTTGGACCTCTTCTCCTGCTTTAAATACCTTTCTTCGTTTGTAGAAACAGCTGTCAATGCTTGGATTTTCGCGGGTATTCTCCATGGTAACGGAGATACCCTGCGTTCCAAGCCTCATTCTGATTTCTGTTTCCTCTTTCTCGGCCGATACGTCACTTCCGGTTTCGGCAGTTTTCGTAGCCATGCGTTCCACAGTGCGTTCCACTGTGGTTATTGCACTCCGGTCTGTTTTCTCTCCATTGTAGGTGTTGAAAATAAATTTAAAGGACATGTAAACAGTTGTTATACTTCTAAATTGGTACATTCTGTTCACATTCCATTCATATTGTACGGACAATTTGTTATTCTCCTTATACAAAGAATTATTTGTGGATAATACTTGGCTTTATATATCTTTTGTAATTACCAATGTGGTTTTACATTAGACATCAGTAAGACAATACAATGATCATTGCAGAGGAATAAAACTTCAAGGGTGAGAGCTAAAAAGTATCTATTATTGTAGTGAATTGTAATTTAAAAAGTAAAAAATAGAAGAAAAGTTACCCTGGTTGAAATTGATATAAAATCAATATAAA